TATCTTTGTTTAAAAAATCCCTAAAACTGTAAGTGGAAAATATTTGTAGAAAGGCTTAGAGAGTACTCTGTTCCAAAAAATTGTAATTATTATACACTATAAACAGAATATGCCTTCTGTAATTCATAACCTTTTCCTAAAAGTTCATCCTTTGTACCAGATTTTGAGTATTCTATGCCTTTCAGCATTGGTCATTTTTATCAGATGCCTCTTCATTTCCAAGATGAACCATAAAGACCCTTTTAATGAATTTCCTTTACATTACATTTATAGTTTCCTGAAGTTTTAGTTATTCTTCCTTGTGTTTGATTATTTCATAGTGACAAATTTTATCAAAACACTTTTGTTAGGAGGTATTACTAAGAATGATAGTTTGAAATTTTTTTAAGAGTGAGACAATATATAGCAAATCCAATAATTTAATCAATTTGCAAAGTTTAAAATTTAATACATTACTTAGAATGAGGGCTCTTTTATTTTTGTTATGCTATAATATCTACTGAGATAATGGGGTAATATACTTCATTATGGCAGAAAAGTGTTTTTCCTTTGCTCCTCCTAAATTAAAAATTTAAGAAATGAAACTCAACGTCTTTTCAAAATACTAATGAACAGAAGGTAAAAATAAATTTCAAAAGTTAATAAAAAATGTGAATAAAGATGACTTACCGTCATCCAATAGATCAGGGGCTGGCAAACTCTCCGCAGAGGGTCAGATAGTAAATATTTTTGTAATTGCAAGCCTATATGGTTTTGTATGGAACTCTGCTGTTGCAGCCACAGGCAACATGTAAATGAATCAATGTGGCTATGTTCCAATAAAACTTCATTTATGGATACTGAGATTTAAATTTCAAATAGCTCTCATGTGTCGCAAAATATTATTTTCCTTTTGATTTCTTTCAGCCATTTAAAAATGCAAAATCCCTTCTTAGTTCACAAGTCATACCAGAAAAAGGTAACAGGCAGGATTTGCCCAAGAGGCGGTAGTTTGCTGACCCCTGTGATATACTGAGTTTCCTGAGGATAGGGACTGTGCTTTATTTGTTCTTTAACTCCAGCACTGAGCATGGCGTTAGACATATATCAAGGATTAAAAATAAAAAGCTTGATGAATGAATCAGTGAATGATGCATGGTGGGTTTTTTATTTAATTCTTTAATACATAGTCAATATAATTATTATATATAACCCTTTATTCTGGTATAGCCTAAGACTCTGAAAGTGCTGAAAGTTATTTTTACCTTACAAATATTAAATAGTTTAATAGTTTCTAATTTACCATATTTTGCCAAGTATTTCTTTGTAATTATACAGATGTTCCTTTCTTTTTTTTTTACTGTTTCTTAATCTTTTATTCTCTCCTAGAATTTACATCTAAAGAGCTTTTACTTCATCTCACTTATATGTACTTAATTATACTTCTAGTTTTTAAGAATAAAAGATTCTTTATGTAATAATATTCTGGATATGTCATTTTTAAGTGGTAATGGAACATGAAGAGATAATACTTTGTACAGCAATGAGTTCTTATGTTCTATAGAATTTTATAATTACTAGTATTTAATTAATGCCAAAAAATTATCCAAACTTTATCAGATCAGAGAAAATATAATCTAGTCTTAAAAAACAAAGGTTTTAATATCAAAATTTTAAAACTTGAAGACTGTGGATTATTATTATACTATATGTAAGGTTTGATAGTATCTCATGATTCGAGGCAAGGAGCAGGTCAGCAGGCATGTGACTATCAGATGAACCACATTCTAAGTTAAAGGATCTAAAAATAGAAACAAATTCACAATTTAGGAAAATCAATTCTGATTGTCTTATTCCTACAAAACATGTAAACAGGATATACGTTACTAAACTTGCTATTCCATTTTTCCATTAACAGACCTGGGAAGAACTCTACATCTTAATTTAAGTCCAAAGGAAAAAAGTCAAGAAACTTTAATAACTTTTCATTTTCCCCAGGGTTCATACTTAGTGACAATAACTTTATATTGCTTTATTTCATTCATGCAATTTATCATTTTTCCCCTTCATTTTTTTTAACAATCCACACAATGCACAAACAACTATCCTTTGTGTTTGTAGACCAAACTAGTTATTGGTAATTACTGACTGTAAATTATTAGTGCCTTAAGGGAGAAGTTTTATATTATTTTACCATTGTCATTAATATCTGTGTTTTCTGTCAATAACTTCTGACTCTATTTGAAAATATTTGCAAACCTAAGTTGTGTATAGGTAACTTTGGTCTACAAATAGTTTTCCCTTTTTAGGCACAGTTATCTAAAGCAAAGAAGTTAAAGATAAATAACTATACTATTACAGGCCCAAAATTCTATTTCTGGATTCCTAGCTGACATCCCAGTGTTACATTCTAGACACTGTAAGAACTAAAACTATTTAATGGTATAAAAGAAGTTAGTAGAATTTTTTGGGAGTGGTCATATATTGCTTTTATGTTTATTCTTTTTCCAAAGACTTTTGCTTCCATAGGACTTCCAGGACTTTCACTGTAGATAATCATACCATATGTGTTTATAAGATATGAAGCAAAGTGAATCTACCAAAGGTCAATATATTCACAATCAGGTAAGCAACTTGTTTTCAAAAATAAATATTAGAGAAGACATAATTATGTACATTTTAAACTCTTTAAAAACAACCCTAACACAATTTTAGCCAGGTAGTTTCTATAGGCATACATAAAATAAGAACACCTCTCAAGTTTGCTGGTAACTAAAAAACTTGATTTAAAAATAAAAGACTTCTGAATTTCGTATATAATGAAACATATAAGGTCATGGAAAGACAGACTCTTGTCAACCAGTAGTAGCAAAAAAGGTGGAGGGATAAACAGATATTAGAAAAGTATGATTTATATGGAGATGGGAAAGATAAAATAAGAAGCTTACTATATAAAAAATTTTTTAAAAATTAACAAGATGTCATGGATATATTTTAAATCTAGTATAAGTCTGCTTTTGTCCATTTGGTAGTTATATATAAAAAGTACTACAAAATTGTCCACTTGGTAATTACGTAGTGACTAACAACAACAACAAAAATTAACCTTTGTAAATTAACCCTTACAAAGCACTTACTAAAATGCCAGGAATAGTTCTCACTGAATCCTCACAGCCACCCTGGGAGTCAGGCACTTTTATTTTTCTCATTGTATAGGAAACTGAGGCACAGAGTGGTTTAACGACTAGTCTATGGTTACCTTGTTGTAAGTAGCAGAGTATGAATTTAAAAGTTTGAATTTTCAACCTAGTATTTTGGTATTAACTTGAAGCTCCACAGAACACAAAATACTTAACTTTGTGATACAAATTATTTCCCCACAACTAAAAGTACTTTTATCAACTGATTGTGAATGAATTCTACGGTAACTCTTTTCCTACTTTTCTGATATAAAAATAAATAATATTATGAAAATATCAGACCATCACACAAAAAATACATATATAAAACCAAGGTCATTTACTTCAAACACTTAACACTCAAACTCCAAAAAAATCAATGTCTTCACATATGTAGGTGATTTTCTTACAAACAAAACAAAACACAAACACACCTTTACAGAAGATGGCTTCCTCCAATTGTACTTTTTAAGTTTGTCTCACAGATTAAAAGAAATGTAAAAATGGACCAAAGGACTATTTTCCCTCAGAACCCATAAGCTATGTTAGAATGACTTCCTTTTCAAGCAGTTGAAGCTAACAATCTCCCAGGAAAACTCTATTCTGATTACTTCAAAAAGAAAACCATTTTATTTATGTCTTATCATAATATTCCAAAAATTTCTGTGCCATGTTTTTTTCATAGATGAATAGAGAATATTTTACAACTTCTTAAAAAATTTGCACTTTCAGATACTAAAGCAACAGTTCCTCAATCTAAAAGCATGGTCTATGGGCCAGCAACAACTGTATCACCTGAGGCTTTATTACAAGCACAAATTCTGCGGACACCCACTGCAGATTTAGTGAATCAGAAACGCTGTAGGTGGGACATGGCAATCTGTTTTAGCAAGCCCTCTGCTTATAGTACAGGCTAAAGTTTGAAAACTGCTATATTTGAGTAAAGAAGGACATTAATTATTTAATAGATACAGAGGAAAAGTATCTTGCTGTTAATAAGATAACAGACACAATTTAGTGTACTGATTTGAAAACAGAAGGACACAGTTAACAGTAAACTGAAATTCAGCGAAAGAAGCATCAGCATCGTTTTAGAGAGGTAAAGGAAACAATGTCATAATTAGTAATAGAACTTTGCATATGACTTGGAAGTGATACCTGAAGTTTATAGCTTCCATAAAAAAAACCTGTCCCTTGTATCAGTGAGCACTGTCTACTCTTCATTCTTTCCCTAATTTTTCTCCCTGTGCAAAGGCTGAAGATAATTCTTGTGGCATGAAGCCTAGATATTAATTCTGCTTCTTTGCTTATTAAAGCCTGCATTTAAATTCACATTCAGAATTGTGGAATATATAACTTTCACATCAAGTACTATAAAATTGGTATAAATATTCTATTGCAGTCATCCTACTATGCTTTGAGACCAATGGCAAGGGTTATCTCAGGAAAAAAGAAATCAGATACATTTTGAATTATATTAACAAAGCACATCAGACCAGATGCCCTGCTGAGTCAGAGTTCTACTATCACCACCTTTGGCAATATGCCTGAAATTCAGCTGATATCACAAACCACTGAGCAAAAGCAGGATTGATTACCTTCTGGACCAGTTCAGTATTCCTCATGTTAGATAATTTCCAGTTTAAGTCCAAAGGAAAAAAGTCAAGAAACTTTTTTTTAACACAATGATTCTCCCACAGAAAAATTTTCACATTCATAGAACCACAGGTCTCTTGTTCTGTCTAGCAAAACTATAAAAATCATATACAAAATAGTAAAAAGGATTAAAAATAACATGAATGGTCTGCTCCTTGAGTATCAGAAAAGTATATACTGTCTCACCTCTGGAGTGACATCTCGTGGTGCAAACCCTGTTCCTCCAGTTGTTAGTATCAAATTAAGTTCCTTTTCATCACACCAATCTATCAGGGTTTCCTGAAAGAAAACAGTAATATTGTAACATGCAGAAGGACTTGCCTGCCTACTTAAAACATCCACATACTCAAATACTTTACATACAGTGAGGAAACAGATTCTTTTCAATAGTCATTAAGAAAAATCTGAAGCACAATTCATGGAACAGTTTCACTGTTGATCAAAAGACACTGCAGTTTTGGGGTATTTATTTTGTTCATTATAGAAAATGAAGATGAAAGCATCAAATTCTTGAAAGTAAATGAAACATAGGAAACATCACTAATAGTTTATAATTAATGTTTATTATGTACTGAAATGGCAGGTCTGACATTGTCTTCAACTATTCAAAATATATGCAGGTTTAAAAAGGTGAGCACTATGTGTGAATTATATGATCTTATTATTTAACTAACTGAAGAACTTCAACTACTGATACAGCTGTAATTTTGTTCTTAGGAAAGCTCACACACACACAAAAATCAATAACTGTTATAATAAAGGTGATTATGAGGTGGTTTCACAAACCAAATTTATTATTTCCATTGCTTTTGCTTCCATTTATTTAAAAATTAAAAAACATAAAAACTCATCATTCTAAGTAGTTATTATTTCTGGTCTATTAAAAAAACATATTTGACACCACAACTCAACAATGAGATGAACTGACCTTGTCTTCCCACTTAGAAATATTAGAAACTAGATTTCTTTGTAACATTCCTAAGTACCCCACCACACTACTGGAGTGCCTGTGACACAGCTTCCTCATCTTTGACCACACCTCCATTTACATCAGATCTTGATAAAAAGTGACATGAAATCCAAATTGTATCAACAAAATATCTCAAGGATTAAAAAAAATCTATATCAAATACCAGTGTTCAGTATCATCAATACCAAGAGGGCAATCTAAACTTTTCAAATTTCAAGATACCAATATAGACAAAATAGTCCCTTTAGACTGAAGAATGATTTTGTTTGGCAACAGGCAATACTTCTTATAACATAGTTCATCCAGTGACTAAATAAACATTACCAAGTACCTACACCATGTCTTAGGTATTGAGTTTAAAAATAAATGAAAGACTGACCCTGGTTTAAAAGAGCCCATAGTCAAGTAATGGTTCTCAAGTTTGGTTGTATACTGGAATCATCTGTGGAGCTTGAAAATATATTGATGCTTGAGTCTCATTTCTGGGGTACAGCCTGGAAATTGGGATTTTTTTTTAAAGCTTCCCAGGTAATTTTAAAATGCTACCAAGCAATTAAGAATACTAGTTTAAAGGGACAATTTGTTCAGTTACCTGAAACTGAATTTCACAGCTAACTCAACTGGGTAGGCCCACAAAGATATTACACAGCTTAAGATTAGTTGCAACACAGGAATTTTACTTAAGTTTTTCTATTCCCAGATGGATAACTGGTAACACATGTATTGTATAGACTTTTTTTCATTCAAATAATATTTGGTATCTTGAGTTCAGTTAAGAATATGTTCAAGTATTTGGGAAGTAATATTTTGTTGTCTAAAGTAGCTTTGTGATATGCAACAGTTTCTCATATGGGCAAAAATATTAGCTAGGCTTTTGGAATGATAAGAGAAAATAGCAATCCTATTACTCACTCAGATGATTTCCAAAACAGAAAGATTCTTCCTCAACCACCAATACAGAATTTGAGTATTTCAGGCACCTAGTAGTCACATATTTATTTAACATATCAATTCATTTATTTAACAAGAAAATATTTCAGGGCATACTTTTGTTCAGGCACTTCATTAGACAACAGGGATTCTAAGATGAATAAGGCACAGTCCCTGGCCTCAAGAATTCAGTCAAGTAGGGGAGCTCTAAGTCTACAGTAGTCAAGAACCTTGAAAAGCATGATCCGAAGATCAGCAGCATTTGTATTACCTGGGAGCTTGTTAGAAAAACAGAATTTCAGGTCTCATCCAGGACCTACTGAATCAGAATCTGCATTTTTAGAAATACTCCTCAAGGAGATCTATATGCACTTTAACTGTACTAAACATACCTTCTAACCATGTACCACTCAAGATATTCTAAGTCTTATTTTTCTATCACATTAGATCACCTGAAAGCAATTTACTTCATAATTGTTTCTGTACCTATAAGATATCTTTCATTTTGAGATATATCTTAATATTTGCTGTTACCAGATAGGTACCATTGAGGATTTCTGCATGAGCCATCTTTAATGAAAAATTTCTCTTCATCTGATACAAGGCTGATACTGAAGGCATTGCCCGTTTTAACAATTATTTTCCCATATGTAGAAGGTATTTCTTTAAAAATGTAATGCCTTGAGCTTCCAGGTTAGTATAGTGAAGGTGTATCAAAGAATTTCTGCCTCTCAACATCTAACAATCCCATTCTTGGGCTTATATCCAGAAGGAACCCTACTTCAGGATGACATCTACACCCCAATGTTCATAGCAGCACTATTTACAATAGCCAAAACATGGAAACAGCCTAAATGCCCATCAACAGGTGACTGGATAAAGAAGATGTGGTATATTTATACATTGGAATACTACTCAGCCATAAAAACCGACAACATAACGCCATTTGCAGCAACATAGGATGCTTCTGGAGAATGTCATTCTAAGTGAAGTAAGACAGAAAGAGAAAGAAAAATACCATATGAGATCGCTCATATGTGGAATCTAAAAAACAAAAACAAAAACAAAACAAAAAAAACAAAGTGTAAATACAGGACAGAAATAGACTCATAGACATAGAATATAGACCTGTGGTTGCCAGGGGGGTGGAGGGTGGGAAGGGATAGACTGGGATTTCAAAATTGTACAATAGATAAACAAGATTATACTGTATAGCACAGGGAAATATACACAAAATCTTATTGTAGCTCACAGAGAAAAAAATGTGACAATGAGTGTGTATATGTCCATGAATGACTGAAAAATTGTGCTGAACACTGGAATTTGATACAACATTGTAAATGATTATAAACCAATAAAAAATGTTGAAAAAACTAACAAAAATGAAAAAGAATAAAAACTACAGAAAAAACTTCCACTAGCAACAATTAAATGAGAAAAAAATAATACAGCTTTATGTTATAAACCATTTCTATAAATGCAACAATACAGTACAAATACAACTACTTTCATAGTTAGCATCTTTGCATCCTCCTCTTTCTCTGGCTGTTATTTCCAATTTATATTTTATTAGTCATAAATTTATACACCATTTATAATAAATAAACTTCAAAATAGCTTTGAAAGTGAACTTGGTGTGAGTTACATTTAATAAAGCGGCACAGAGTCTCAGGAAAGTGAATATATCATTTAATCATTCAGTTTAAGAAACATTCCAATGCCTACTGTGTGCCAGGAAAATTTAGAAATAAAAATTTAAAAAAAAACATGACAAATATCCTTGATATCAAAGAGCTCAGAGGTATGAAAAAATTAATATGGTGTATCAACATATCATGGTTAGTGCTATTACAGAGGTATGCCCATGTTAATAACTGTTTCACAGACATTATATTTATGAATATATAACATCTTCTTTATCAAAACTAGAATGGAAACTATCACCACAGAGATTTTTAGCATTATTTTTGTCTTGCCCAGGAGTAAAAAATCCAATAAAGAGAAAAATGGGGCAGTAACAGAGATAAGAGGAAGTAAGTTTAGGCAAGCCATCATTCTCTACATCTACCTAGAGTCTCATACTCATCTACCATAATAGATTTTTTTCTTTTCTCTACATTTATCAATGGAAGTATAAATCATTGAATTAAGCAGACCTCACCAATGTAAAATCATTTGATAAATGTCACATTTTCCTTTGGTGCATTAGAGAGTTCTGATATAACTACCTAACAAATTTCAATTTGCACTTAATGAGACATAGCTTTAGGGTCATCTCAGTAAAGTCTCCTAACTCCTCCAGGCAATTTGTGCCCCATGTGTGTTCCCAGTCATTCCTCTGGAAAGCACTTTTCACATTTAACTGAAATTTACTTGTTTACATATCTCTTCTGTAAGAGTCATCTCCAAACTTTTGATCAAGCATCTCCATCAGTAAAACAATTTCAGAATATTATTTTCATATACCTCTGGACTAAAGCATTTAGCATAATATACTTAAATAGAAATTTTAAAAAGATGAGATAGAGATAACATTTAAAATAGTTTTCACTTTATTTTACTAATTAAATGTGCAAAATGTTTTTCTGAACTGATTTTTTATGAGAGTAATGTGGTTAAATATGCACTACTTTAGAAAATCTTGGTTTGATATTTTGTGATACAGTAATTAAAAATTAAACAATAGTCTTAAAAGATAAACAGACTGAAATAGAAGTACAATATTAGCTATACTTACTAAATCATATAACATTCATTTTTCAATCTCATCCATCAAACATGCAAATAACTTTTTGAAATGGGGCTAATAAATTTCCATCTTTCATGATATTAATTATTCTTACAAATAATTAGAAGATGTTATTTTTTAAATATTTTTAACAAATGGGTTAAAAGTCTACAAAAACTCTTCAAATGGAGGACTATTAAATGGGTTAGAATTTTGTTCCCTAGATTTTTTTTAGTGTGCAATGACTAGTTTTTATAAATGATGCAATATCATTTCCACCAAAAAAAAAAAAACAAATACAAACAATTTTAAGTATCCAAGTATCTTAAGCATGTTTTTGTATTTTAGAAAAACTGTCTAAAATCTTCTTTCATGTCTTTTTTCTCAAGTTGTTCCCTGAATTATTTTAATTTTTCATTTATTTTTCTAGGCAGATTCTTCCATTCCTTGTCCATTAGTCTCATCTTATTTGCATTCATGTATTATCTGGGCTAAAAATCTTTTTCTCTGCTCCTTTTTGGCTTTGTCAATCTATTCCAAGTTATTTTAAAACTAATATTCTAAAATATATTTTCTTAAAATCTTTAAAAAATAACTTTTCTTCACTGGAGAAAATATCAACACATTTTCTAAATATTTGTTAATATAGTT